AAAAAAAAAAATTATAAACGATAAAATACAATAATTATGACATAATTAAAATTAGTAAATTTTATATCTATAAAATCATATACACTAAATTCTTTTCAAATTAAGTGTTAATTTATTTATTTGCCACAATTTTTTCACTTTCCCATCACTTATTTAGAAATTGAAATAATATATTGTAAAGAAGTATGGGTAAGGGAAAAAGGAGTGAAGTATTTTCGTGAGTATTCTTTATTGATAATATTTATATATGTTAAATTTTCATGTTATTTAATTCAAAACAGGAACTTTAAAATGACAACTATTTTATAACGGGTGAAATACACATATAAATTATATATCATAAAAAAGATAAAATTAATATTAATATTCAAAATGATTTTTATACAAAATGACATTTCTTCAATGCTTTAATTTTGTACGAGTTATTATTATTTCTCCCTGCATCATAGGGTTACGTACATTATAATAAGTTATGTGTAAATGAAGAGACAAAAGTATTTTTATGAGTGTTATAGTATCATATTATTATTAATGATTGAATATGTAAAATTTCATATTTTTAATTCTAAACATGAACACTAAAATTACAACTATTTTATAATGAGTGAAATACATATATAAATAATATAATCAACTATTATACATTATAAAATAAAATAAAAGATATAAATTAGTATTGATAACCAAAACTATTTTAATGCTAATCATTATTTTATTTTAATTTATTCGATGTATCATTATTATTTTGTGTATCACACTAGTATTATTATATATGAATCATTGTTGAAATAAGTTGCAAGACATCAAGGTTCAATTGAACGATGTAATTATTAAGGGGGTGATTGTATACGGATTGTACAGAAAAAAAATCAATCAAAACTCAAATTTAACTCAACCCCACTATCCTCAATATTATCAATATAATTAAATAATATCAACCAATCATTCTTATAGATCACATCAATTTTAATTCATTATTCATCCACTCACATAATTTTAATTAACCATCACTTTCAATCATTTTCTTCTACTTTATATCAAATCAACTTTAATTATTTTATTTAAATATTATTTTAATATATCCACTAACAACTAACCATACCACTTTTTTTCAAAATTAACTATAGTTAAAAAATAAACCAAATAAAAACTAGTTGAAACCATAAACAATCACCCTCTTAGTTTTTGTTTGATTCAACCGATTTGATAGGTCTTGACAAGTCTACCGGCAATCGATTTTGATTAATACAAGCTATCGACCTGGATCGATCAGGGTACATTTGAGACGATCGAGTCCGGTCCAGATCAATTTGATTCTAAATTAGTCCGGTCCAGAAATGCATACACAAATATCTTTATAAACTTTGTTAGATTACATGTCTTGAAAGCACACAGAACATCTAATACAGATTTTGTATTCATAAAAGGCCAAAACCGAAAAGGAACTCGGATTTCGAACCACAATGATAAAAAAACATCGTCATATCATAATCAACAACGAGCTGATGAAAAAAGATAACCGCACTACGTTTCAGCATCCCGACTATCGTTTCTGATCATAGCCTTCTTCCTGCTCTTGATATATTCATCCGACCTCTCGTTTATATTCGAAGGCCCGCTCAAGAGTGGCCTAATCGGGCCAAAATTATTCCGGACCTCCTTTTTCACTTGACTTCCTTTCAAAGCAAAATTATTCTGATCAATTTTGCTTCCAAAATGATTGATCTTTCTATTGTTCTCATCATCATGCCTATTGGTATCTATGGGCCTTTCTGGCCCACGTGTGTGCCTGAACTCGACAATAATCTCCGAGCCCATGTGGCCGATGGGCTTACTCTTCGGCCCGGCCCAACCCTTTTCGTTTCTTGATTCACCTTCTTCTATGGGGACTTTAACCGGGCCACGGTTCATGGTGCTTACAATGAAACTGATGAGCCTTTGGCAAATGGTGTAAGAGTTAGAGTTTCTGTCCATTTTTTTAAGTTAAAAAAAAGCAGGGAAAAGAAAGAGAAATGTTTTTTTTTTTCCTAGATTTGATTGGTGTTGAAACATATGATTGTCAGATCAAGTTTATCAACAAGAAACAAATGTACTTGTCAAGATGATTCCCTGCATTTTGGTTGCCAGCAAAAAAGCAGAATGGAAAAAAAAAAATTAAAAAAAAATAAAAAAATCAGGAGTTTTCAGAACTCTAGTAAATTTTCCCATGCTTGTACAAGATTGATGCTTTTAGTTAGTCAAAAGCATGACAGCTAAAGAAGAATCTATATCCATGACCTATTATTTTCATACCAAAAAATTTGTAAAAAGATGCACCTAATTTCTTGAAGTATGCATAACTTCATTCTCAAACAGGAGCAACACTAATATAGCATCTTTAATTTAAGGCCATATGTAAGTGTAGATGAAGATTTATGCTCACCTTTTTTATTGGAATCAGGGAAAAACAAGCCACCCAATTATGTGAAACTATGTACAGAACAATGTGTATTAGCATCATCTAATGGTTAAACAATCAGCTATATTTATTCAAAGTAGATACATATTTTCAAATTGAAATGTCATATTTTAAATAATAATATAAATTTGTGACATTTCATAGCTAAGTATACATTTTGTAGCTAAATTGATAAACAATTGGGTTATTCCATGGTGAATTAACTTCGTTTTACAAAATTGGTGTTTTAACTATAGAAAAACCCAAATATAAATTTATGACATTTCATAACCAAGTTATGTTTCGAAAATGTACAGGCCCAGTTAAGTTACTACTCAATGCCCAATTGAAATTCACGCACATGCACGGGCCGCTTCCCAAACTATGAATGAGGGTAATGGGTAAGTAAACGAATAAGCCCAATAAGTTATTGCTTATAGCCCAAATTTAAAGTCAACCAAGCCCATTTCATACTGGCCGCCACCACCAGTATCACTACCAACCGTGTCTGCAAAGTGCAAACCAATCTGCAGAGATATCATTTCAATCACGAAGCCCTAATCCCAAATTCATTATCCCCCTGATTCACGCCATGAATTTCTTCAAATCAATCCTAACAGACGATCCGGATCCTCCCAAATCGGTTAATCCTCACGAATCTGACCCGGGTTCCCCTCTCAAATCGACCGGCGACGGTCGGGGATCGGACGACGCGGCCGGCGGGTGGGGTTTCGGCGGCTTGCTCAAGACCCTCGCGATCGATTCGGTGATCGAGACGTACCGCCGGGATCTGAAGGAATTCGGGTCGGGCCTCAAGAAGGAGAGCGAGATACTGCGCGAGTCGGCAAGCCGAGCCGTGAAGGATCTCCCGGCCTCGCTCGAAGCCAGTGCTTCGGTGCCTCAAGGCGCTCTGGAAGCCCTGAAGTTGAAGGCCGAGATCGTTGCAAAGGAATCACTGGGTCCCACGTCCGACGGTGAATCCGAGACGCCGGGGACCAATCTGAGCTTGAGCTCGGCTCGGTACAGCTGGTTCGAGGCTCAGCTGGGTGCGATCCAGAGTGATCCGGCTACTTTCTGTGAGGATCCAGAGGATGTGGAAGAGTATGTGAAGTGGAGATCAGGATTTGATTTGGAGAAGAATAAGGATGAAATCGATGGTTTGGTCGCGGAAAACGGGAATCTTGAGGGCGTTTATAAGAAGTTTGTGCCCAGTGCTGTTGATCTGGAGACTTTCTGGTGTAGGTACTTTTACCGAGTGGATAAGATCAAGCAGCAGGAGAGCGTGAGAGCCAATCTAGTGAAGCGGGCTATTACTGTTGAGGATGAGGAGGAATTGTCTTGGGATTTTGATGATGATGATGATGAGGATGTTGCTGTTAACTGCAATGCGGGTGGTGTGAATGTGGGAAAAGGAGATGATGTCATTACAGATAATAAATTGAGTACCGGTGAAAAGCAAGAGGCTTTGAACGTTGAGTCACGAGAGGTTAAGGAAGGAAATGAAGTTGAGTCGAATGGAAATGGTAATGCAAAGGTTGCTTTGGATCAGAAAGAAGTTGAGTCCGAAGTGAAAAGGGATGAGAAAGTGGAATCTGGACAAAATTTGAAGGATAATAGTGACGAGAAGGTGATTGTGGATGAGAAGGTAAATTCTTATGAGAAAAATGGTTCTTCTGTTGTGTCGGGTGATCAGCCTAAAGTGGTGAAGGAGGAAGAGGAGGAAGATTTAGGGTGGGATGAAATTGAGGACATTGGAAGTGATGACGAGAAAAAAGTCTCGTCAACTGCTCAAAGTAGCAGCCTGGACAGAACCGAAATGAGGAAACGGTTGAGTGCTGGGGAAGATGATGAGGATTTGAGTTGGGATATTGAGGATGACGATGAGCCTGTGAAAAAGCCGTGAGGTTGCATGAATCAAGAAGTCTAGATTGCCTCGGTAAATTTGATAAACTGTCAAAGTTGAATAAGGGAACTGGAGAATTGCTGATCAGATCAAGGTGCTCTGCACCAAGTAAATATGAGCATCATATATTTATCAAAAAGTGGTAAATGTATTTCATTCCTTTTCTGTTGTTTTTCATTTTTCGTTCACTTTGTTTCTGTTTTCGAGTTTCTTGTGTACCTATGGGCTACTTATTATCTGCTTACAAGTGTAACCTTTCAGTTTGTTAAATGCATTTGTACCTTTGATCAATCTGCATCATTCTTTTGTGGTCACTCTGTACAAGCACATTTACATTATTCATTTTCTAAATTGCTCTCCGAAAAGAAACCTGTGTTCAGGGGCCTTTTTTGCCTTACAACCTGGATCAAGACATGCCTTCCCATGACAGGAACAAACAAACATTAGAACCTTAAGCACGACCCATAATTCCTCAAGAAAAAGAAAGAAAAAAACCAAATTCAGATACAATTTTAAATTTCCATGCTTAAACATCAGGACCAAAACCCATAACAAACCCTCTTAACTTAACCCCAACTGTTTATGAAAGCCTACACACTCACCCGAAANAGGTATAACCACCACCAATTCCTACCTAACTCAAACAACAAACCACACAAAAAGAAAAAAAGCCCTGATGCAGAGATTAATCACAAAACCATTCCATAGACCCCCTCTTTTTTCAAGAACTACCAACCCCCGAATCAGATCCTGCCTCGTTTTTTCCCGAGCCGACAGGCGAAGGCAGTGCCAGAAAACGACCCCTCTGCGCGCGTGGCGGCAGCTGCTTCGTGTGCTTTCTCGACCCAACGGCCCACGGCAGGAAAACTCCCGTCCCACCTTGTGGGCCCCTTCTTGGGCTCATGACCAATGGGCGAACGGGCCCCAGCATCACAACCGGAGACCTCAGGAGACTCCACTTGGGCACCATACTCATGGGCTCGTAGTTATTTGGGCCCGTGTATGGTGCGGGTACACCCGGTTGCCATAAGGTCATTGCTTTGGAAAGAGGCGAGTGGTTTTTTCCAGACGACTCGGTTCGGACCCGAAAGAAGGTGATGCTCGTTCTCTTGTTTAGCGACGAGCACATGACGTGCCTTGCAATGTCTGAACTGTTGCCCCTCATGACAAGAAGGGACCTGAGAAATTTTTATTTTTATTTTTTTATGTATAACTAAATTTGAAGTGAAGTTTATTATTGATTTGACACTTAAATGGATGGCACTTATTAGTTACTAGTTATTACCCTTTGTCCAGGGAAAGATTGAGAGATCCTCTGTAGTTGCCTTCACCATGGCTCACGAGCGTTCGGCCGAAAGCCATGGTTGATTCGTGGAGGAGGAGAGTGGAGAGAGGATTCTCCAGGTGAGGTGGTTTTAGGAAGGGCTGAGAATATTCTCCCTACATTATCTCGGAAAAANAAAAGATTTTGGTTCAGACAGCTTATCTATCTAACATAACAGTAGAAAGGAATAGCTTGAATTACTTTTATCAAGTCTAATATACAAACCTCGTCGAAAAAGCTAATGATGCAGCTGTTTGGTCTCGTATTTTCAGGTATTAAACGCCACTGGATCAAGTGTTCCATTACACTTTGGAGAAGAGCTGGGATCGGCTCTATATAGCCTGTGCCATACGGGTAAGAAAAAACATTTTCAGAAAAACCCATGATGTCAGCTAAAAAAGCAAAGAGAGCTTATAACCATGCCATACTTTTCTGGGCTGTGTTTGATTCATCTTCTTTAATCTTTCCGAAAATTGGTACCCCGAGCTGAATCAACTCTCTCTTGTTCCCTTTTGTCTGCTGATTGTACAAAATGAAAGTCTCCCCTGAAACCAAAGTAGAAAGATTACCACTATAGGGATATTACAGAAGATAGAGCTGCATAGCAAATAATGTATAAACTATAAATTAAATGTCAGTCAGTATATTCATATTAAACATTTTTTGTTTTTTCGTTGGTGAAAATGCAGTTAATATGGCAGATGCCCTCCTGTGCAATTCATGAAAGGTAGAGATCTTAATGAAAGAAAAATGAATTTGCCCAAACCTGCTCAAGCAAAACCTATAGAAGATGCCCTGTACAATCTCAATACTTCTGGCCGAAAACGAAACACAACTAGTTTTTTTTCTAAAACTATAAAAGCATCACTGAATCATTTTTCACAGGGGGGAGCCACCTGAGAGTTCACCATTCTGACCAGCCGCTCGGAGTTCATTCACAAAGTCGTTCAGTTTCGACAGCTCGACATCAGTGAACATGTCCTCATATAACTTAAGACCTCTAACGACATTCACCTGCATTTTGGCAAACCACACATCAGGTAATAAAATTATATCTTCTCTCTCTCTCTCTCTCTCTCTCTCTCTCACACACACGTGTATTATTAAAATGTTGTGTCGAGAAATAATAGGGACTTGCCATGTTTCCTTTCACTGGCTCCTTTGCCACGAAACCTTTTATCATCTTGATTTGGGCACGACGAGCCTCACAGAAATCATGATTGGAGCATATATCAATGTTTTCGGGTAAATGCTGCACTTCTTGGGACCCTGAGTTGATGAAAATACAGAAATAGGAATAAAAATCAATTTTTCTGCAATTTCAAATTTTAAATTTTCAGTTCCAACAATATGCTAGTAATGCTCTTCATCATCTAGATGAGTTAATATGAATTCAGCAAATTGGGTTTACATAATTGAAGGATATACAATTTAAAAATCCAATCTTTATACATTATCCCTCATAAAAGTAAGTAAAAAATCCAATCTTTATACATTTATCCCTCATAAAAGTAAGTAAACTAAAGACAACATATATGGCTCTTCTTAGCAGTAAATTCAAATGAATAGGTGTTCAGTGTTTATTAAAGGACCATTTATTTCACTGGCAGATAACCTCGGATTTTGTACTTGTCACAGCAGAGAAAGTTTGCCTACTTCTTTATTACATCCATATACATAAATAAAATTCTATGTGTTCTTAATTCAAAAGCTTATCGCTGAACAGAAAAAGTTTGGTAATCAGCTGGATTTTGCAAGTTACAGTCCGACAAAACAAAGTTGAACCAAAAAAATTGTATCTATCATTTCCCTTTCACTAGCAGTGGAGAAAAATCCTCTGCATTTTTTTTTTCTTTTTTTTTTTCTAGCTAACAATAGGACAATATACAGTGGCACCAATTTGNGTTTATTAATTTATTTATTCTTTTTTTTTCCCATCATTTTCCCGCACACACCCCCCTTCTATGATGCAACAAATAATATTTTCCTGCTAAAAATAGCAACTTTACACTATAATCCCTCTTTTTATCTTTGACCGTCATTAATTAGGTAGCTGTGAAATTCAAGAAAGGACCAAAGAACAGATGATAAGAAAAATCCATGTTGGCGATTTGAAAATAGAATCTAAGAAATGCTAAAAGAAGAGTCTTTGTTAAAAAGAAAATACTTCCAGAAGCTTTTTGTGAAAAAAGACAGGAAAAACACTCATAGATTTGAACCAAATAGGTTTAGAAATTTAAGGATGATTAGAGAGAACCAACCGAGTTGACTGAGTTAACTTGGAAAAAGAATCCAAAAAAAATGCTAAAAGAAGAGTCTTGGTAAAAAAAGAAAAAAAGAAATAAATACTTCCAGAAGCTTTTTAGTGAAAGAAAGAGGAAAACCACCAAAACATTTGAAATTGAACCAAAATAGGCACTTTAAGAAAAAAATTAAGAATGACTAGACAGAACCAACCGATTTTACTAAGTTAACTCAGTGAGGTCAACCAACCACCGAGTTTAGTAAAAGACCGTAACAAACAGGGAAGAGAACCAACATAGGGATTCGAATATGCCATAGAAGTGGGGCCAAAGCAGATGGAGAAGACAAAGGCAGGCAGACGAAGCCACGCGGCCCGATCAAAAATCGACGGCCGAGACCACGCGCCGCCCATATCAAGTCAATAACAAATTAAATTCATAAACAAGACTTTAATGGCACCTCACGCATCTCCAGGTGGACCTTCCCTTAATAATGCTCAAGTCTCTACTGTAGCCAACAACAAAAAAAAGATCACCAGAAGATTGTTTTAGCTAACTTTTCCCTTCTCGAATCTCTCAACAAGGCCATCAAATCCTCGGGAAAATATAAAATAGTACCAACNACATAACTATTGACATAAAGTACTAATTTTTTTATTGGGCTGATCTCTTGATAATCAAACTCGGCTCTTTGAATTAAGCAACAAATGTATGATCTCAAGCACGACTCATTAATAGCCAATTCGAATTCGAATTATATTAAAAGTTCATAAAATTATATAAAAACTCCTAATCAAGCTAATCAAATGATCTCGACTTGACTCGTTTATTCGAGATACAAGCCAAGCTGACAAGAGGCTTCAATTCGTTTAACAACTTTAATTGGTGGTATTGAATAATCAATTTCTTGTGGTACTGAAAATTTACATAGCTATCAGATAATCAAAATCTCCAAACAAACTCAACACTAAACTAAGCCCTGTTACTGAAATGAAGAATCTCTCTGTTCAGAAGTGAAAGAGTTCAATTTTGGGAATAAAAAAATGGTTGTTGCCTTGTTGGTGATTAGATCAACATGAACATAGTCTTCGATTCAAGCAAAAATCAATCAACTTTGAACAAACTTTTACCTGTGTCCGTAATATCTGACGTGAAATCCTCATCAGCCGCCTCGCCACCTCCGCTTTCATTGCTCTCCTCGTGGCTCTCCAGATTCGCCTCCTTGAGCTTCTCCTTGTCGCCAAACGCCACCGCCGCCGCCTCGTTCTCCTTCACCTCCGCCGCCTCAATTTCCTTCCCCTCGGCGACCTTCGTCAGCTCCTGCGCCACGTCGGCTATCGAGTAGTACTTCTGCATCTGGAGGATCGGGATCCAGTTCATCCGCCGCCTGTGGATGGCCGCGAACGCCGGCCCGTACGCCGCCGCCTCCCCGCCCTCCAGCCGCTTCAGGTGGCCGCAGAGCGCGTCGATGATGGCGTTCGCCGCCGCGAACTCGCCTCGGAACCACGCGATGATCGCGTCCTTCGCGTACGCCTCCGGCGCCGCCGCGACCATCCCGGGATGGGCCTGCTGCGGCTGCGGCACCACCGCCACCGCCGACGCCGCCGGAAACACCACCGGGTTCATGGGAACCCGATCTCCCTGCGCCACCACACCCGCCGCCGGCGGCATCCCGTACAAAATTTCAGGTGAAAACACAGAAAAATCCAATCTTTTTTCTTCCTCAGTATCAGGTATGACGCATGCTTGTCCGGCCGCCTGTGGGGATTGGATTTTTTTTTGTTGAATTTTGAATTTTTTTCACTGGAAAATGATTTCTGGTGAGGTTTTGCAGATCGAAGGAAAGAAAATAGGCAATGGTGAAAGCGAAGGGTTTGGGGTTTTAGGCGGATCTTATATGGTGGCGAGCGGAGCAAATGTCCGTACCTGTGGGGGCTACGTGCTGACCTGTAATTTTTCTTCTTTTTTCCTTAAAATGGGCTGGCATTATTACTAATATTTTCGAACCGAGCCGAGTTGAGTAGTTGAGGTTGCGGTTGAGCAGTAAACAAGTCAAGTCGAGTCGAATCACACGTGACTTTTTAATGAATTTTTTAAAATAATGAAGTGGCATTGTTTGTAATATGCACGAAATTAAGGTTGTCCGAATCGAGCCGAGTTGGGTAATTGCGCTTATGCTTGTTTAGTAAACGACTCGATTTGACTCTGCTTGACTTATTTAACAAATGTGTCATAGGCTCATCTCATTTGAACTCGTGAAAGTTCGATTCAACTTGTTTAATAATATTAAAGTATTAAACGAGTTGTTTTTTAATATGATTATTTATTATTGAACAAGTTCCCACTGTTTCATTTGAAATTTGTAAGAAAATGTAAGAAAACAAAATGAGTTGTTTGTGAACCTACTTCGTATAACGATTCGATTTAGTTGTTTGAACTCGTCTCTTTTAAATAAAAAAGTGAATTGAATTTCAACTTCCACGAGTGTACGCTAAGTCTTTTTGTTGTGCATATATAACTATTAGGCCGAAAGTACTCTTTTCATGAATGCGTACTTCTACTAGAAAATATCACTCTAAAATACAATATAAGTATGACATTTTGATAGTATATTATTAAATTTTATTTACGAAGTATAATGCATCGATCTGTCTAACAATGAGGCTGTCTCACACGAAAATTTGTGTTTCACATAATTTTTCTCTGACACATAATTTGTGTTCTCACACGAATCTGTTTTTTTTATCTTCGACTCTGCTCAGGTCGACTCGGTTGAAGTATATTTAAGTTTGAGAATAGTTTTTCAGTGTAAGGGAATTTGTGGGTTCCAAAACTGCAAAAGTGGTGAATAGTGACCACCAAAAGGGCCACATTAGGCACATGCAGATGGTTCAATTACCGCCACCAATAGTGGCTTAAGACACTATTTAAGCCCAACTCACCCCACCACTTGTTGGCTTAAGCCATATGCTTCTTCAAGCTTCTCTCTATGTAGAAGTTTTGGAAATATTGAATATGAAAAATAAAAATACAATGTAAATTTTGTTCTATATATATGTGTGTGTGTGTGTTATAACTGAAAAATGTGATAAAATTGAATTCTATTAATGAAATCCATCAGATCCACATTTTTTTTGCGTTTAATTATTAAATAGTTTCAATAATATATAAGAATGCTGTTAGATTGTGCTTATTGTCAGGAAGTTATATTTTTTAACATATTACTATTACTATTTGGTTATTTGGAGCACTCTTGAAAATGTTAATTTTTCAAATGGAGTTATGAAAAATAAATTTTTTTCAAATGTCTCTGTATATCCTTTGCTTCTATGTATATATTTTTTTTATTATTATTTAAAAAACAATTTATTCATACGTTCATTATTAATTTTGCATCAAACCTAAACATTTATCCAAATGAATTTTTTATAGCCAAAATTCCATTTTAAGAAGTGTTTCCAAACAACAATATAAATATGCATTATCATTATATTAAAAGATTAACCATTTAACACTTTTAGCAAGTTTTTCCCGCTAAATACATTTAATGTCTCCTAAAAATAGAGCAACATAAAATGTTGCCCTTAAATGGTAAATAAATATTATTTTTTTATGATTGATTTAAATTTACGTCTGTTTAAAAGTAAAAAATTACTTTTGTAATTTCAACAAATTTGTACTCTTTAATGTACGGCTGATTTAAAATTAAGAATTTACTTTTGTATTTTCAAAAAAAAAATTGTATAAAGAAGTATGGCTTGAATAATAATAAAAAATTAATTTGTTAAACCATATTTTGCACTCATAGATACGAATTCTCATCAAATTCAAGATTTAAAATTGTGAAGAATGTATATAAATGTGGACTGATTGAAGATCTATGATTCCATAAATTAAGGAATTTTTTCCGGTAAAAAAAAATATAAACTTTAAATATAGATTTTATTAGTAGTGTATACCAAAGAATATTGTTACATTTAAAATTCATATGAAGAAGAGTTCTATTAATTTTCAAATTCAACATCTCATAAAAATAATATAATACACTTTTACATTCTATGAAATAATATTTAAAACCCAACGTTCAACATGCATAAAATGTAAAATTACCTAACATGAATCATTTTAACTTTCTAAAATCAGTACACAATTTGCTCGGTATGTACTAATAGTCTAATAGTTAAGAGTTAATATTTACTATGACATCTATTGGTTGGAAAGAATTCCATTTTGTATGGAATTCGAAATAAAAAAACATATTCTGAAAATCAAATCTGATTTAGAGATCGATTTCTTAATGGCCTTAAATTATGCAAATATATTGTTTCAGTTTTTAGGATTCTTTTTTATGATCTCAGTCTTTGCATTATATGAAATTTATACTTATATAAAAAGCCATCCTATTTACTAGAAATAGTAGGTAGAAAAGTCAAAGGTAATTAATGCTTGCTGGAAATAGAATGATATTAATTACAAATTTGTTTTGGTATTTATAGGCTTGACATTAAAGATTTGTTATAGGATAAAAATCAGAACCGATTTTTTCACTTTTGCTGGAAAAGTCAAAGGTAAGTATAGATTTGTTTTATCCCATAACATCGATTTAGTTAAGAAAATCCCATCAAATTAGTTTTTCATGTCAAGTCTATGAATAAAGATTTAATGGGTCAAAATTAAATCTTTATTTTACGTCACCCATAAATAAAGTAGATGTCAAGCCTATATTGAAGGGTTCAGTTGCCTATATAGCCATTGATTTAAGTAAACACATCTAATGTTTAAAGTTTGTGTAGATTGAAAATTCCTTCTTATCTTTTTACAAAAAATCTTATTATTATTGTATGGAAAATCAAACTCATAATGTTGTGTACAAGGAGGTCTTTAATAATATATGATTGTTTGTTTGTTGAATACTATCTTATTGTACAATTTTCCTGCGTATTATAAAACTTTTATTGAATATTGCATCTTATAATATAGTATTCCTCAATTAAATATATCCCGTGTCTCGCATGGGTCACGTACTATATATATCCCGTACATTTTTCTGTATTCATGCATATAATTATAAGTCTGGATAAATAGCCTTAAAATTATGCACCCCGTGCATCGCACGGGCTCTGTACTAGTTGTTGTTTAAAATATATTTGAGTCAATCTACTCATTAACTATTAGGCTGTCATTTACAATATTTTTTTTTTTTTTAAATCGGTAGAATTAAATAGTGTAGATAAAGGCCGCACTGTCTTATTCCATGCATGGTATGGATATATTTACATAAAAGCAAAAAATTTCCCTCGCGTGTTGAAGGAGTGAGAGAACTGCTATTGGAAGTAGACCTCTAGGCAGGCCTTTCCACGATTAACGAGCTAAACCAAAGATGTGATCTCCTTCCCGATCTTCAAACGAAAGGCTGACAGCAACAAATTCTGGAATTCATGCAATGGTCAGAACAAGGGGTCATTTAGCAACCAGGTTAGGAAGACGAAATAACATGTTGGGATCTCTTCCCTAAGACTTCCCAGACCCAATCTTAGTTTAACTTGCTGAGGGTAAAAGTCCAGTGCTACTACCGTGTGCCTAGGTACACCTAGCTAGGTGTGCCAGGGCAGTTTAAAATGAACATGTTATGTTACAAAATGAACATGTATAAACATGATTTGCACATGTTCATTTTGTAACATAACATGTTCATTTGTGGCACACCTAGCTAGGTGTACCTAGGCACACTTAAGTATTTGCGGTAAAAAGTCCTCTTCTTAAGCCTATCCATTTGCTGAAGCTCCCATTTCCAAAATCTATGGGATTTTATTATTCTTCTTAAAAAGAATATAGTAATTAAAGTAAGTTGCTATAAAAGTAACTTTATTAAGGAATTTATGCAAAGTTACTGTCCACCGGTTATTTTTTATGAATAATAAAATTCTTATATGATAAAGTACAATTGATTATTTTTAATTTCCCAAAATTTTGTGGATATTTTGAATAGAATATATTTTGATTGTGTCCTCGAATATGCTAACACAAGTTACACAATTCATAATCCATTTTTATATATACCTAATAAATTAACAAGATTGAATGCTTTATATATGCTTTACATAACATGGATAAGCAACATAATTACGGTTCACTTTTCTTTGTAGCTTACAAATATATTCCTTAGTATAGGCAATAAGTAATAAGATTCATTGTATTATAAACAATTATATGTTACACCAATAAAGTATTATCTAATTTTAACAATGTGTTATGATAAGTAATATTTTAACCAGTGCTACTGTTGCCTATTATTATATCTAACACTTTTATAGTATTAAACAACAATTATTATAAATGATATATTAAATCATCTATTGTTAACAGTTAACACTAGCTCGTATCATTTTTTGGATGTTACTTATAACTCTTAAGTAACACTTTTTATATATATGTATCAATTTCTTGCAACACTTTTTGAATGTTACAACTCTTAAGTAACACTTTTTACATATATGTAACTATTAATAAAAATCCATCAATAACTTTATTCAACATTTTCAAAGATATTTTTAAACCCTTTATGTGCTTCATTTATATTTTTGCTCAATTTTCCATATTTGATTTATGATTTATGTACTTTCTCCAATTTTTATATATTTATTATGAATATGTTAGGTATGTTTAGAATATAAAGGCATCTCAAGTCATAAGTTAATATTGTTTGGAAACACTTATTAAATTAATTAGTAAATTATTAATGTTTTGTGGTGAAGTTTATAACCTAACTTTTGAAAACTTTATAAAAAAATATTAAACGAGCATAATTAGAGTTGATAAATAAAACAATTGTTATTGGTTTGGCTATTTAAGCTCGAGCTTTGTTCAACTCGTTTGATAATGAAGCAGAACTTGATCTCATTTGGAGTCTCTCGACTAGTTAAGGTGTCGGAATTTTTATGCAATTTTATATTGACTCGTTCTGGCTTAAGTATAACTTGTTGATATTCATAAACGAGCTTAGTTTGACCTCGTTTATTGACTCAACTTGATAAAAAATCAACCTTGATCGGCTCGTTTATACACTTACAAGCCATAAACCCCAATTAAGAACTCATAACTAATCCTCATACTTAAGTATCGGTTTTGCTATGAAGTCAACTGCCTTCTATATACAACATATAAACCTACAATATTAATAAAATTATATTAGTGTTATTTAAGTAATTATAGAATATCATAGGTTTACTTGTTGTATATAAAAGATTGATTCCACTATGGAACTAACTGTTGGCTTCATAGCAAATTGCAAAAGCAATTTAATATTTAGAATATGT